TGGGGCCTACAATACTTGTGCTCCCTTAGTGTCTTTTCTCTAAACTTACCAAAGTACAGTTTAAAATTATGACTCAGGAACTTGATGGCTACACCCACAGGACAGATTTCTGATTAAGTGTCAGAAACCAAGTTCCCCTACAACAAAAGATACGTATGTGCATTCATTCATTCGGCAGCCGAAGACCTATTATGTGCCAAGCAACCTTCTAGGCATTAGGGACACCGCAATGAGCAAGACTAACGAAAATCTCTTCCTTCCATGAAATTTATCCTGTAGTAGTGGGAGTCACAATACACAAAATTGATCAGCAAGTTCTGTTGTATGTCTGAAAGCTGTAAGTGCTGTGGAGACACATAAAGCAGGACAAGAAGTGAGGGGATTGTGGCGGCGGAAGTTGGGGTTTTAAGTAGAGTAATTGGGAAAGACCTCACTGAGATGGGGACATTTAGGCAAAGACTCAAATGAACAAAGATCCTAAAGAAACTCGACTGTAAATATTTAGAATATTTAAATTCACAATACTTAGATTCTGTTTTCAATATTGAGAAAGTCCCGGTGTCGCCTGAGTGTTATTGTTAGTTGAAAGGGACAGAGTATGCCTGCGTGGTGGGAATTCTCTCAGTGCGTCTCGGTGAAGCTGGGACCCGACTTCAGTAGTCCTGATGCCTGTGATTGGCCCCACTTTAGCTCATATGCTACCAAAGTCACCTGCTTGTTTTTCGGTCACTCAATGTCTCCTCTCCCTTGTGTTTCCTAGGAACATGCCTTTGAAAGCAGCCAGAAATATAAAGAAGGAAAATACATCATTGAGCTAGCACACATGATCAAGGACAATGGCTGGGACTGATCCGAGAAAATCCACCCAACCCAGTGTCCACGTGAACGCCATCCAACTGAGCATTCTACCCAAGCGTGAGAGAGTGACTGAACACTTGGTTCCATCCATTTAGGGGCCTTGCCATCTGGGGCATTCTCCCGCCCTGACGCCGTTTTTCTGGTGACCGGCCTCTAAATCGCTGTCCCTCTGTCTCTTTGCTTTGTATCTGTTTGTGAGTTGATCCTGGCTTCTCTCTCTGTTATAGTGTTGGCTGAGAAGAAAACAACAAAAGGAACAGATGCCTGACCGCATGGCGGCAGCCCACCTTGATAAAGGGCCCTGGGGCCCATTGCAAGAGCTGCCTGACGGCCTCTTGTCAGGAGAGCAGTGGCACAGCACGGGGGTGTGAGGAAGAGGGAAAGGGGGGAACCACGAGGGTTCCGGGGGTGGGCAAGGGGACAGGAGAGTAGAGGTAGAAAAAAAAATTGTGCTGCTCCTGGAGACCTGGTAACTTTAGGCTTGAAATAACCCACTTGTCTAAAAGGACAAAGAGAGAAAAAAAATACCTCATGACTACATTCTGATCAGAAGCTTCAGTCCCTGACACCAAATGTGCCAGGTTAGCATGTGAGCACAAGAAGTGGCCCTGATTCTAGCTGGCAAGGCTGTGGCCTGGTTCTCCTGGGCTGAGTTGTGTGTGGGGGGTGTCTTGGCAGCAGTGAGTAACTTGGGGAAGAGCCCAGATGGGTTTTGATGACTCTGATGCCTCGCTGCTCCTCTGGGTAATCCTCTTTGCCTCTTCAGCCCCGATAGGTGAGAGGAGAGGGGACTGCCATTTGCAATGGGCACAAGATCCAGACACCCCAAAGGCTTCGACTAGGAACCAAGTAAAATCAGTAACTGAGGAGAACAGGGAACAAAGGGGGCTGCAGTTTGGGAGCTCCGGCAGAAATGGCTCAGATATTGGGCCAGAAAAAAATAAGTAGAACCAGTTAACATTTCTGACTGACTGACCTTCACCCCTGACTCTTAGAGATGAGCATTGTGGCAAGGGAGGGCTGGGGGTGGTGGAATGCCGGGAGTAGTTTAGATTTGAACCATTACAGGTTAGTTGCATTGTTCCTCTTCGGTATGCAATAGCTTCAGTAAGATCAGCAATTATTTGTACATAAGAGTTTTGGGTGTTTTTCTCCAGTTCTATCATTGTAGATTGTGGAAAATGAAGTCCCGAGGTTGGCTGGTATATTCCTCATGCCCCTAGCTGTTCTCCTTGGATTTGAATGTTTTTGCGTGGAGGAAAAAAAAAAGTATCAAAGTGGTCAGCAGTGGGGAGGGCTTAATTTGATGTCAGACCTCAAGTTACAAATTTTAATATTACCCTCCCCCACCTCCATCCCCACCTCCCCATCCAAACTTCATTATATTCTGAGAAATGGAGAACAAACCCCTGTAAGGTTCATGAGAGAGAGGAGTTTGTCACATTTAATCAACACTGTGAAGTCTATTCTACAGCGATTCAGCCAGTACGTGGTGGAAGGTCACCTAAGTGAGTTCATTTCATTGCTTAGACTGAAGATATTATTGTTCGGATATGAGTAGGTTGTGTAAGGTTAATTCTCAGTATCTCATTCTCCAAGTAGGCTGACACTAGAGGACTAGTCACCTTTAAAGTCACAAAAGTTAAGTTCTTGGAGATAAGAATCGGCCAAGTTGATTAACCAAGATTCAAGCAACCAACCCAGGACATTTTCAGAATTGAACCAAATTCCCATAGGGAATCAGTCCATGTGGAAAATGCCTTTTTGTGTCTCTGTGTGCTGATTGCAAAATGGGGGACCTGAGACAGGCGTGGCCCTGCCCTGGTAGTGGAGTGGTGGACAGCAGGACTGACAGGAGTAGTGTAGCTCCAGGTTCAGTAGTAGACTTGCCTCTGTGAGACAAAAGGATTCTTAGAAATTTAACTTTGTTCCCAAAGGCTTCTTGCCCACATCTTTCGGTGCTTTAGAGTAGGTAGCCCTGGGAGATGAAGTTGTTCTCCCCACCTTACTAAAAAGCAGACTGAGGTTCAGAAAAAGTATTTCCTTTCTGCTCCCAGAGAAACCTTTCCTCTGGCTCCCAGGCACTCCCATGCCCAAGATCGAAGTTAAAAAAAATATTGTCAACTTTCACATTCCTAAGCTGGCTTGCCAGCACAGAAATCATAGGTTTCCCTCTCTATCCCCCCAAAAGTAGTGGCCTTCATTTATGGATTTTAATTAGCTCCTTTGCTCAGGGAATGTCCTGGCTATTGAAACTCTTTTCCATACAAAGAAAATGGGGGTTAAACACGGGTAGGTGTTCTGTCTAAAAATGGAATGTGGCGACATAGAAACCAGACATGGGCGCCCTAGGATTTTCAGTGGGCAGAGGAGACCGATGTGTCACTTCTTCCTTGGGGATGGGGCCTCTGACTGTTGCATGGACCAGAGCAGGCTCCAATGAGACCCTGGTTTGGGGTGTTTTTTTTTTCAGTTACTATCCATTGAGCATCCAATGGGTGCATGGTGCCATACTTGATGCGAGAAATCTGAGTAGAATGTTGGTTTTTTCATAACTACAGGGGGGAAAAAAAACAACCCAACTTATTAGATTTCCCTTTGTGTCAATGAAACCAAAAGTGCTTCTTATAACTCTAGCTCCATTCATGGCTTGTCTATCAAATGTCTAGTAGTATTGGAGAGACCACAGCTGAGCGATGGAGATGCATCAACGCATGGCCTCAGTCAGTTCATTTTTTAATTTCCTCACCAAATTATTGACTCAGAGCATAACCAAAGACCTCATCCATTTACCCTAGGTAGGTTCAGGGAATTGGAGTTCGATGTAAAACATAGGGAGTAGGAAAGGGGAAAGGGAGAAGTGAGAAAGGGAAAGACGTGGATTTTATACCTCAGCCAGCAGCTGCCTTCATTTTCAACGGAAGTCCAGCCGCAGGCTCTAGTTCCATCTTTCCTGTGCCACCTCATGTCGTATGGCCTTGGTGGCCCTGGATTACACCCCACCCCCCATCCCACCCTTGGTATTGGTCTCAGGCTGCTGATGGGCTGATTTGACATGAATCAAATGCAGCCAAAGTTGATGCTCACAGAATGTCAGCTGGGCCTGACTGAGAGCTGCCCCAACTCCTATGACAGTAAGATCATGGAAATAGGATAGAGTAAAATGTTACTGGTAGATCAGTGAAAAAGAGGTGTCCCCTTTATAAAAAGATTTTCAAGTGGATATATATAAAAGAAACAGTTGTTTGTGAAATATACTTTTGTAAATAATATTTAATTTTTTAAATAATATATTTGGTGCTGTTTTCTCAGATCCCCTGAGAGCACATTTTGTTTTCATTTTTAAATGCTATGGTTTCCTCTGCATTTCTTGAAGTCTATTTTAAGGGAAACAGTGATCACCAATGGACTCTTTTTTAAAAATAGATCTCATCACTTTAGTCTGGATGGGAGGCAATAGAGCAATGCCTTTCTATTATTCCCAACAGAGTGGACTCTGCAGTACATTACCAGGCTGAGAATTGAAATGTTTTCTTGCACCAGTACTGGCTAGAAAAGAAAATAAATAAAATCAAGTAAATTTAGTAACAAGTTAGAGTGAATGCTTTTGTTGGAAGAATTACCAACAAATTAGAATCTTGTTTTGAGTGAGTGAGTGAGTGAGTGAGTGAGAGAGAGAGAGAGTATGCAAAAAGCACTTTGGATTGTGCCTCCTGTTTTCTTTCTTATTGGGGACACTACACCTACAGTTTACACCTTGGGCACATAAAGTTTTTCTTCACTTTCTCTCTGATGGTGGCTTTGTTTTCTGAGTGGACCAACAGCACAAAGCACGAGGATTTTGTTTTCCTGAGCATGGAGCTGTTGCCAGCTTGTCCTGTTTTCTTTCTTTGTGTGCTCAGCTTTCTACAGGCTGTAAAGGAAATCTGTTGTTTGCGAAGATCAAGCAGAGTTGTCAAATCTGTGTTTCTGAGATGTGAGTGTATTCATCACATAGGTTAGGGCTCCAGTTGTTGTAGAAGCCACATCATGTTAAAAACACTGACTGGTTTGGGTCAGTGAGAGAACATAAATAAAATAATATTCATACTGTGTTGGTAAACAGCTTTTTTTTTTTTAAAGGTCAAACTGCCTCAGGTTTCGTAAGAAGCTGAGAAATCAAATGTTGAATACAATCAACTTTCATATTTTAAGTAGAGTCCGTCTCAAATGAGAAAACATGCTAGTGTGTTCTAGGGAGAGGAAAGAGATGTTTAATTTTTAAAATTAAAATACATGAAATTTACTAGTAGTGAAAGGCAAAGCCAAGGTGAGACAAGCTATTCTCATTTTACCAAATTCTATCTGCCCGAATGTTTTTGTATAACATTTTGGTGAAAGTGAGACTTGGTTCCCTTTTCTGACCTGCAGAGACTATCTTTCAATACAGAATTTATGCTTGTGTTTACAAAGTGTATTTGTTGGGTTTGGGTTTTGTTACTTTCTATTGTTTGTCTTTTTGTTGTTGTTGGCATTTTTCAGGTCACTTTGCTTCAATAACAAAGATAATTATTTTCAAATAATTTCTCTTTACCTTTTCCTGTATTTGTACATAGTGATTCAGTATTAGAGAAAAATGCATTGTTTCTCTCATATTTCCAATCTGTGTTGGTGCTCATTTGAGAAAATAAAGTTTTCAAATATTAATTCTTTGGAGGGCTTGTCTGTCTTTTTTTTTTAAAGATTTTTATTAAAAATATAGCTAACGTACACTATTACATGAGTTTCGGGGGTATACCATAGTTGTTCAACATTTATATACCTAAAGACATGATTGCCATGATAAGTCCAGCAACCATCTGACACCATACTATGCTATCACAATGTTATTGACTATGTTTCCCATGCTGTATATTACATCCCTGTGACTTCTTTGTTTTATACCTGGAAATTTGGACCACATATTGCCCTTCAGCTTCACCCCTTTATAATTTTTCAGTGACAGTTGACATTCAATATTATTTTATATTAATTTCAGGTATACAGTATAGTGGTTAGACATTTATATAATTTAAGAAGTGATCCCTCTGATTAGTCTAGTACCCACCTGACACTATTACCATATTATTGACTGTATTCCTGTGTTGTACTTTACATCCCCATGACTATTTTGTAATTGCCAATTTGTACTTCTTGATCCCTTCATGTTTTTCATCCTGTCCCCTAACCCCCTCCCATCTGTCACCCCCAAAAAATCTAGTACCCATTTGACACCATACATAGTTATTACAGTGTTATTGACTATATTTTTTATGCTATACCCTACATCCCCATGACTACTTTGTAACAACCATTTTGTACCTTTTTTTTTTAAAAGATTTTATTGGGGAATTGGGGGCGGGGAACAGCATTGGGGAATCAGGGAAGGGAAACAGATAAGTTGCTGTCCTTTTGTTCTTCTGTCTAGTTGTGGAGGATGTCGCTTCACTGGCCCATGTTGGTATTATCATTGCGCTCGTCCCAGGTGAGGCAGATCGGTCGCCAGCCACTGGACGGCCGCTCGCCACGGTTCTTGGCAGCTCACGCTTGCTACCGGCCGCTCACGCTGGCTACCAGCCACTCAAGGTAACTTATGGCAGCACACTGCAGCTTCACTGCAGCCTACGCTGTCGCCGCCGGCAACTCACAGCTGCCCAGCTCCAGGTTGAGCTGTTGTTCACCATCTTAGCTGTAGAGGGCGCAGCATCACTGGCCCTAATGTGGAATCCGAACCAGGGCCCTGCTGTTCAGAGCTGGCATTCCAAGCCAACTCTTAACTAACGTGCCACTCGGCTGGCCCCATTTTGTACTTTTTAATCCCTTCCGTTTTTTTTTACCCACACCCCGAAACCCCCTCTCACCTGGCAACCATCAATATGTTCTCTGTATCTATGAGAGTGTTTCTGATTTATTTTGTTCTTTAGATTACACATATAAGTGAAATCACACTGCATCTGTCTTTCTCTGTCTGACACTCCACTCAGCACAATTCCCTCCAGGTTGATCCATGCCACCACAGATGGCAAGAACCCATTTCCTTCCCTGGCCGAGCTATATTCTGTTGTCTATATGTACCACCTCCTCTTTATCCATTTTTCCATCAACAGACACCCAGGCTGCCTCCACATCTTGGCTATTGTAAATAATGCTGCAACGAACATATGGATGCACACATCCCCTCAAAGTAGCATTTTGAGTTTCTTCAGATAAATACCCAGAAGTGAGATTACTGGGTCCTTCTTTGTCTCTTGTTATAGCCTGTCTTTTTTTTTTTTTTAAGATTTTTTTTTTATTTGGGGAATTGGGGGATGGGAACAGCACTGGGGAATTGGGGAAAGGGAAACAGACAAGTTGCTGTCCTTTTGTTCTTCAGTCTAGTTGTGGAGGATGTTGCTTCACTGGCCCAAGTTGGTACCATCATTGTGCTCTTCCTGGGTGAGGCAGATCAGTCGCCGGCTTCTGGACGGCCACTCACGGCGGCTGCTGGCTGCTCACGCTGGCTACTGGCTACACACGGTAGCCCATGGCAACCCATTGCAGCAGGGGCTACAGCTTATGCCATTGCCAGCGACTCGCGGCCGCCCAGCTCCAGGTTGAGCTGTTGTTCAGCATCTTAGCTGTGGAGGGCAGTGTCACTGGCCCTCATATGTGGGATCCAAACCGGGGCCCTCTGGCATCCCAAGCCAGCTCTTAACCAACACGCCACTCAGCCGGCCGTATAACCTGTCTTAAAGTCTATTTTGTCTGTTATAAGCATGCTACCCCTGCTTTTTTGTTTCCATTTTCATGAAATACCTTTTTTCATCTCTGCTTTTTGTCTGCGTGTGTCTTTCAATTTGAAGTGAGTTTCTCATAAGCATCATATGTAAGGCTCTTGTTTTCTTATCCATTCAGCCCTCCTATGTCTTTTGATTGGAGCATTTAATCCATTTACATTGAAAGTAATTGTTGATAGATATGTAGCTATTGCCATTTTATTCATAATTTTGATCTCCTCCCACCCTCCATCTTAAAGAAGTCCCTCTAACATTCCTTGTAATATTGGTTTGGTGGTGATGCACTCCTTTAGCTTTTTCTTGCCTGGGAAGCTCTTTATGTGTCCTTTGATTTTACATGATAGCCTTGTTAGGTAGAGTAGTCTTGGCTCTGGATTCTTGCTTTTTTTTTCACTTTGAATATTTCTGCCAATCTCTTCTGGCCTGCAAAGTTTCTGTTGAGAAATCAGCTGACAATCTTATGAGAGCTCCCTTATAAGTTACTAGTTGCCTTTCTCTTGTTGCTTTTAGGGATCTCTCTTTGTCTTTATCCTTTGCCATTCTAATTATAATTGTTTTGGTGTGGGCCTGTTTGGGTTCATCTTGTTTGGGACTCTCTGCCTGGACTTATATGTCTATTTCCTTCGCCAGGTTAGGAAAGCTTTCAGTCGTTATTTCTTCAAATAGGTTCTCAATCCCTTGTTTTCTCTCTTCTCCTGGTACCCCTATGATGCAACTGTTGTCACACTCGATGTTGTCCCAGAGGTCTCTTAAATGCTCCTCATTTTTTTGGATTCTGTTTTCTTTTTGCTGTTCTGTTTGGGTGTTTTCTGCTACCTTGTCTTCCAAATTGCTGATTTGACCCTCTGCTTCATTTAGTCTGCTGGTGATTCCTTCTAGTGCATTCTTCATTTCAGTTACTGTATTCTTCACTTCTTTTTTGTTTGTTTGTTTTTTGTTTTTGTTTTTTTAAAGATTTTTATTGGGGAGTTGGGGGAGGGGAACAGAGTTGGGGAATTGGGGAATCCTTTTGTTCTTCAGTCTAGTTGTGGAGAATGTCGCTTCACTGGCCCATGTTGGTATTATCATTGCGCTCTTCTCAGCTGAGGTAGTCGCTCGCTGGCCATTGGATGGCTGCTCATGGCGGCTCATGGCAGCCCAGCTCCAGGTTGAGCTGTTCTTTTATTTGGGACATATTTTGTAGTTTCTTCATTTTGCTTGCCTCCCTGTGTTTGTTTCTATGTATGAGGTAGATCTGCTCTGTCCCCCAGTCTTGACCTGGTGGCATTATGTAGTTGTGCCTTGTAGGGCCCTGGCACAGTCTCTCTTATCACCTGCTTTGGGTGCTCCAGGAGTGTCCCTTGTGTGGGTTGTATGTACCCTCCTGATATAGTTGAACCTTGGTTGTTATTGGCATGTCAATGGATGGGATTGACCCTCAGGCTGATTGGCTGTGGGGTTTGGCCATGACCACAGCTTATGGGCTGCTGTGTGGGACGTTCACTCCATGGAATTGAATTCTCCTTAGCAGGCTCTAGTGCCTGTTGAGGTGCCCTTTGTTTATGCCGCTTGTGGGGCTAATTGGGCGGTGCTCTGCTGTGGTCTGAAGCCAACCTCCACATATGTTGGTTCTGGGGCTTCTTGGGAGGGGCTCCAGTGCAGGCCTCAGTCACCCACTGCCTGTAACCAACCAGGGACTACTTGATAGGAGTTACGAAGCAATGCACGGTTTTTTGCTGCCTATGATAAACCTGGAGGCACGTAGGAGAGGCCTTGCTGTGAACAAATGACAGGTACCACCAGTACCAGGACTGGGGTAGCTCTGCACAAAGCCAGGACACCCCGAGGCCTGCTGCCATTGCTGGCTCCCTTAAAGTTTAGCTGCTGATAAAGCCTTGTGCAGTATCCAAGTTGGGTGAGGTAGGGTCTTGAAGTCACAGAGTGGGAAGAGTTGTGTTCACTGGGTTAATGTAGATTCTGGTTTGGTGCCAGTGCTGAGCCTGGAGCTAGTCACGAAAAGTCTCAGAGCACACCGAGACCAGTGGTCGCCTGCCTGGGTCCTGTGAACTCCGATAGTTTTCCAAGAAAGAGTGCAATGTGGGTGGGGCTGGCTGCGCACCTGAGTAGTGCCTCCTGCATTGGGGGAATTGGATAGGTTGGGAGTCCCAGTGAGTCAGCAGGGTGGAGCCCCTGAGCTCACCAGACCAATCAGACTCAGATTTGGCCGTAAGCATAGAGGGCGGGCTCAACACATTAAAGATGGCGGCTGCCTGCCCAGATGCACTGGAGAAGAACCCCATACAGAAAAATGGCTACAAAGCCACACACCTCAGTCTGCTCCCCATATGCCTCTGACACCCCCCAAGTCATCATCCCTCCACTGGAGCCCAAGGTGAGTGCCTGTGAGCGAGTGAGTCTGCGTGCAGGCCGTTTAAGAGGACGTCTGAGTTTCCCGCAGCCTTTCGTCCCACTAAGATGGCCGGGTGTTGTGAGGGCTCCTCTTCCTGGCATCAGTACTTTTAGCTGGGGAGATTGGTGTGGGACTGGAGTCCTTTGCTCCTCCACGGGGGAACCTCCTCAGCCGAGGTATCCCTCTGTATTTCAACCTCCACATGGAGGTTTGGAACCAACCTGGTTTGCATCTCCGGTCCTCCTACCAGCTATAAAACTTCTGTTCAGCCAGACTTCAGATGGTTCTCCAGGTTGATTGTTGTATAATTTAGTTGTAATTTTAACTTGTTCACAGAAGGAAGCAGGCAGTGTTTATCTACTCCGCCATCTTGGATCCCTGGAGAATCTTAAATCTCAGGGGTTATCTGTCTTAATTGATCTAGCAAGTTTTATTTTGACATTTAACATTTAAGTAACTGAAAAGGCTGCAGGAGGTCATCTGTCTAACCCCATTCACAAATC